CTCTAACATTCTGTGATTCTGTGATAAGAGAAGAAAAAGATGTTTATTTTTTAAAAAAAAATGGTCTATATTAAATGTTGCATGCCAACCACTATACATGTGAGATACGTGAATTATGAATTACTATGTTATGTATAAATGTAGTTTCACTGTAGAAGAAGCACTCCTCAAAAGAAGAGGCATCGCTTGTCAGGTTAGCGATATACCTCTTACATTTATGTAAAATAATAAAAAGACAAGTTTTCTGTTTAAACACCCATTGCAAAATTTTTGTAATACAAAGCAAAGTAAATCTCAGCCTAAGCTATATGAAAAGATCATATAGACTTCATAAAAGGACAACTGTTGGTTCTTTTGAGCTACAGAATATTCTGTGTAGCTTTGAAATCATATCTTATGTATTTTTTTTAGAAATCATTTAGACTTTGATATGTGTGGGCAAAGTGATTTCTCTAGGAAAACATTTGAGAAATTGCTACTACATTTTATTCCTTAGGACAGATTTTACAAAATAGATCAAAATATGTTCTTAAAGCTAGACATGTTTCATTTTCTTCTGAAGTCAAGATGATAACAATGATCAGAAAAAGATAACATGAAAGAATTGTAAGAATCTTCCTTTAGGATTGTATGTGTTACGGATCTTCAAAAATTACTTTTCTATTTAACCAGTTTTCTGTGGGGAACTTCAGTGGATATCTGTTATTACAAGAAATTTAAGTAAAAATTATCTATGATGTGCCACGCTTATACACTTTCTTGATTAGCAGAAGTGTTTTGTCTGATGTAAATTACTGATCTGAAACTTTATCAAGTATTTTCCTCACATTCCTTTTCATGTGTATTCTCACTTGTGATTCCCACTACATTTATATCTGTTCAAGATCATGTTAAATTTAAATACTTTTTTACTGTATTTGTCTTACTGTTTCTTTTTACATTTAAGAAATATGCTGCAGAAGTTCTGGGTTCTTTAGATCTACTTGTTTCATATTAGCAAACATTACTCAGTTTTTCAATATTCTGTATTTCAATATGATGTGCACAGTTTAGCAAAATATTTTCCTCTGGAAAGGATTGGCTCAAAGTCCCTTACAGTTTTGAAAGTGTCATTGAAAGAGATGGGCTTGGGCAGCACAGTTCAGATCTGAATGGGAGCCAAAGCTTCCCTGGAATTCAGAGTCATTTGGGAGGTGGGGACTGTAGTTTGATTTACTAAGTGCTCTAAGTTTTAACTTCCATGTTAGCACCAGCTGGCGTTGCTCATGCACTCCAGCTTCTGTTGCAGCTACATGGTAGCTGAGCCCTCCTAATTTCTGTGCATCTTGGTTCATACCTGGTTTGATTAATAGTAAATCTACATTATAGGTTCAAAAGAATCCATTGTTATCATACGGTTTAACTTTCTGCATACCACAGGGTGCATTCTTTGATCTTTTTCTTGCTTTTAGTCTAGTAGCTGTGACTGAAATAGACCTTATCTATTAGAAAAGCATCCAGCTCTGACTGAAAAATTTCCACTGCTGGGAAACTTAACATCATTCAAGTAACCGATCAGCACAAGTAATTTCTTGCAAAGGATAATTAACCACACAATGGAAAACTTGCACTTTACTCCTCATCTAAATTTTAGTACCTTTAATTTCAAATCGTCAAACCTCTGTGCTAGAATGTAGAGCTCTCTGTGATCACGTTCCTCTTCCTCATAGATTTATTTATTCACTATGAATAAATCATAACTTAATTTTTTTTTTTTAAATAAACTGAATAGTGCTTCTCATGTCTGTCTTAATGAAACTATTTTCCAGGCTTAGAATAATTTTTATTTCTCTTCTCTGAATCATCTCCATATTTTCACTTTCCTTCTAGAACTGTAAAAATGAAAAATCGACACAGAATTTCTGTAGTAGTTGCACAAGTGCCTAGACAGAGATAATACCTGTGTTCCTATCCAGTACTTTCAATTATACATCCCAAAATTCATCCTGTTAATCAAATGTTACACTGTAATCTCAAATTCATATTCAACATCCCAAATCTTTTTATTTCTCTGGTTTCCAGGATAGAACTCCTACATTGAGCTGTATCCTGTTTTCATTATTTGTAACTGTATGACCTTAAATTCAGACATAAAAGAAACTGCATTGGGCAGATCAAAAGACAAAAGTATTGCAGTAACCTGACTGCAACAGGAGGGGAGACATGATAATCAGATGGAAGTTTTCTATGGTTAAAACTCGTCTTTTGCAGGACCATAAATGAGTGCGCAGGCAAAGTAAGAGCAGAGCAAACACACAGCTTTCTAATACTCTCCAAATACCTGCCTGTTTTCACCTCAGGGAGTTGAAAATTGAATGAGATATGTTTTTACTGACCTTCAGTGGAATCTTTTAGCTTTCACAGTACCCTTTCACAACTAGTTCCACTAGTCTGTTGCCTCATTTGAAGAACCAGCTGCCTTTATTTCTTTTTAACCTGGATCCTATTATACTTCATTATTAAAAGAGATTATATCTGTGTTAAAAGAGACACTGGATCGTCAATCCCTATCTATCCTGCTCAATGCCATCCCTAACATTGTAGACCTCTATCATATCCCTTTAGGCATCCCTCTTCTAGACTGAAAAAACCTTGGACTGTCTTTGCTGCTCTTCTCTGAAGCTTTTCCAGTACTATCGTATAACCTTTCTGAAACTAAGGCTGCAGAACTGTGTGAAGTTTTTAAGATGTATGTGAACCATGGATTTATACAGTGGTATAGTGACATTCTCTGTTCATTATTTTTTTCCAGATAAGACCTAATATTCCATATATTTTTGATTGCCATCTACCCTAACCCCAAGATATTTCTAACTTTTAATGGTCAGCTGAAAACCTATAATTTAATCTATGGAGTTAGAATTGATTTTTCTGATGTGCATCACTTCTCATTTTCTCATGTGTTATTTTATTGCCGTATTAGTAAATTCTTTACCAGTTTGTCACAGCTGCCCTAAATCATAATATCATCAATAAACTTTGTCACTTATGGGGTCCAGTTAGACATATCAACTAGATAACCATTTAAATTAAATTTTGTAAGGTAGGACTTCTCTTAACAGATCCATGGTGACTCTAAGTGTATCATATTGTTGCAAGAACATCATATTTAGACAGATGTTGGCTAATTCTGTTCTTTATTACAATCTATGAATTTGTCTCTCAGATATTTGGCTAAAAGACCTTGGATATCCCTTGAACTCTTTTCAAAGTTGACATCACATTTGTTGTTTCCCAGGACATTGGTAACAGGGCAGTTTGAAGCAAGAGGATACATGCCGCTTCTGTCGAAATAACAATTTTACCCCGTTTCCTTTATAATTCAGTTGAATACTACCTAATAATAGCAATCTGTTATTGTTCACAATGTCAGAGTTTTTTTAATAAGAACTTTCTACAGTGATTTCAGTTTCAGAAAAAAATCCTCTGAAATGTCCTTCATACTGGAAATTTCCAGTTGGAATCTCTTTGGTTTCTGCCACAGTGAACACCAGTGCAAAGAATGCAGATAGCTTCTCTGAAACATCTGTATCTTCACTGTGTGTTCTTTTACTATCTGCGAACACTCATATAGAACTCACAATACTTGACTGCCTAATTTACTAATCCATTCACAGCAAGCCATATTAGTAATTTGTCACCTGTGCTATTCACTCTCACTTCAATCTATATGCTATTTGCAGACTTTATCAATAATTCAGTTTCTTACTGTCTGTGATTTAATACCGTAGAATCAAAGTAATCTAACATATTTATTTTTTACTAGTAGTTTTACTAGTACTAGTAGAAGAGATTAAGTGTTATATTAAAGGCACTTTACACATTTGTTAATGATTTACTTTATTTTAGGGAGGTAATCCAACAGCTACTGTAATCGCATTGTGTTCAATGAGAGATTTCAATCTTGCTCAAGAAACTTGTCAGCTGGCCATCAGAGACACTGGATGTCTTGAAGTGTTTATTAATTTACTTGGTACGGAAGAAATTAAATGTCAGGTGAGTAGCTTTGTTGAATAGAGCACTGAATATGCCTTTTCTATTATAAAATTTTTTAATTTTCAAAGCTGTATAGAATAAAGAAAATTTATTCTTTTGTCATTTCTGTATTTTCTTGATTTCAAGGATTTTTTTAGAAAAAAAATTGGTTTGACTTTCAGTTTCCTTTTTTTCTTCTGATTCAATTTAAAAGATAAAATGTTTTAGACAACCCAGCATTTTAAACAATTTTTCTGTTTCCGTATACTTAAATAAAGTTTAACTTCTGTTATCTTCCATTATTTAGATTGGTTCATTAAAAATCCTGAAGGAAATTAGTCAAAATACACTGATCAGACATGCAATTGTAGATCTTGGGGGCTTACAGATCATGGTGAAACTACTGGACTCTCCAGATAAAGATCTAAAGTGTGTGTCAGCTGAAACAATTGCTAATGTCGCTCGATTTAAACGAGCACGGAGGACAGTAAGGCAGCATGGAGGAATCCAGAGATTGGTAAGCAGACATTAAAATTTGTACCCTTGTCATATGCATATTTTTGTACAAAAAATATGTCGTATGTTGTCTGTGTGATTCTTGTGGTAGTGTTTGCCACTATTAAAAAGCAGCATAATATCAAACTTCCCTCTAGATAATAAAAAAAATGTTGTGGGGTTTGGTTTTTTTTTTTTTAGGTTGGGCTGTTGGAATGTGTTTCAGTGGGATCAACCAGTCTAACACCATGTCAAGCAAAAGATACTGAAATAGCACGCTGTGGGGCTTTGGCGCTCTGGAGCTGCAGCAAAAGCACCAAAAATAAAGAAGCAATCCGTAAAGCTGGTGGCATTCCATTATTAGCTAGATGGCTCAAATGTTCAAATGCAAACATCTTAATCCCAGTAGTGGGGACACTGCAAGAATGTGCATCAGAGGTAAGTAAACACACATAGCTAAGTTATTTCTAATTATTAAAACAATTAGCTACTAAAAGGAGGCCTTATATTTGACTGTCACTTAAACCAGGGCAGCTATTCCATCAGGAAGTAGATGCTTTGTGTGGTCAGACTGTTTTTGAGAGGGTCACATCTTGTAATGAAGTAAAGACCACATATTTTTATTTAAAAGGCTCAGAGTAGTTTGTGAAAGAAAATATATAGAAATTAAATCCTTAATCAGTTGGGTTTTTTTTTTTCTCATTTTTTTCATCCCACTTGACAAGTTTGGCAACTTAAGATGCAATATTCTGGTTAATCAGTGCATTTAAATTCTACAAAGCTAACCTGCAGATTTGGCCATGAAGATACAATTCAGTGCAGGGCAGTGTGGTTTGCAATGTCCTTGTGAATTGGGTAAGATGGTGTCTGATCAATTGCAAAAAAAAGAAAGTATATGCAATTTTTCTACAGATATCCTTAGCAGGTTTCACAGCTTTGAGTATATTTCGTTTTTAAATTTGAATACAAGTATTTTTTACTGTTGCCATATAAGATGAGTAGTTATTTCTCCATTTGTGGAATCCTATTTGAAATTAAAGGTGATTTGCACTTAAGGTCGAAAATATACATAAGTTCTCTTGGTGAATCTGAGATGTGGAAGACATGATTTTTCAAAAGATTTTACATTATAAAACCCTTTGTATTTTCAAAATTGGTTTCTTGAACTACACAGGTTTATGCATGCTCCACGAGACAGCAACCTGGCAGATTTTAGCTTTAGTAAGTCAATACTGAGAAGGTGAAGTTTTTGAGGATTTCTTATCTGGTCAGATTTGAAAATAATACTAGATGCATCACTTACATAGAAATTTCCCCTCTCTTAAATAATGGTCCCCTCTTACAATGCCTGTGGGTAAAAATTTGGAAGAAAAGATCACTAAAAGATTTTAATTCTAAGACGTTGTTTTTCTAACCTTGTTCTAGAGATAAATCTGTTGTTTTAGCTGCTGACTCTAGATGAAATGAGGGGGTAATTCTTGATCCCGTTCTGAAGCACCGTTTTCTTCCTTGACTGTAAGCAGGGAGTCTGGACACCTTTCACAATATTATGAATTCTGTTTAAGCCAGGTGGATGCAAAATAGGCATTGCAGCACCTGGTTTTACAGGTGATTTGAAGAGCATGGCAGAGAATTTATTTATTTAACTTTGAGCACATCAGTAGTATTTTCAAGGCAATGCAGATGACTTCTTTAAATAAAGTACAAGGCTTCTCAATATCGAAACCTAGAATTGTAGCACTGTGTTATTATTGTGACTAGTGTTATTAACTGTTGGTATACAGGATTTAAAAGATGCAGTTTATATTTTTAGCCAAGTTACAGACTTGCAATAAGGACAGAAGGAATGATTGAGAACCTTGTGAGAAATCTGAGTAGTGAACATGAGGAGCTTCAGATGCATTGTGCAAGTGCCATATTTAAGGTAATTGTATTATCATAATCAGTAGATCAGAGCCAGAATTAGCCCTTTGCTTTTATGTTGTTGTCAGTTTTTGTATTTCTTAGTTTTACTATTTCTCTGATGTGTAAGAAATGACTTTATAAAAATCTTAATGGTCTTTGGCTTAATTCTTCTGAAAATATTTTAGCTGCATATTTAATATTGTAATTGAATTCCTACTTGCTCTTCTGGTGCAAGCCCTAAATTGCATGGGTAACGAATGGAGTGAGATGGGGCATACTGTGCAAAGAGCTGTTTTTTTGGGTTTTTTTATGTTTGTTTGCCCACAAGGTGGGCAATGTGACAGTATAAGCACTGCTGCATACACAGTAGTGGCTTACTGTCACACTCTCTTAGTGTGTTGTTGGCATATTCAGATACTTTAATAAAATATTTATGTTTTCTTTTGTATTAGTTTTTACTAGTTACAACATATTATACCTAGCTTTTGAAGATATCATTTTACACATTTCATGTAATATATATATTAATTTTTTTTATAGTGTGGAGAAGATAAAGAAACACGTGACCTGGTTAGACAGTATGGGGGTCTACAACCACTGTCTGTTCTGCTTGATAAATCTGAAAACAAACAACTTTTAGCAGCTGTGACAGGAGCAATCTGGAAATGTGCGATCAGTGGAGAAAATGTGTCAAAGTAACAATTTAATTTTACAAACACTTATATTTTGATTTTATGAACCTCTTGTTTTCAAAACTGTTCATGTCATGATTCTTCAACATCATACTTTATAATCATGGTACAGTGGAAACAGTGTTAAGTTCCTAGAATCTTAGGAGTCAGTGCGGACAATTGGTGCCTCTAAAGAATAGTTAAGATAGAGGACACTGAGTCAGGAGGTGTACTAGCACCCACTGAACATTTGACACATGGGTGTGTCTGATATCCCCGCTCCTCTCTGTAGCTCACAGACTGGAATCACTGCTGCCTAGTAGGGACAGTAGTTAGCACACTTAGCCTTAACGTTTTACATCAGGAAAGACAGAGAGCAAATTATCTCCTTCTAAGGTAGATATCTAATACACCTGAGGTCCACCTACTTTAGAAATATACTAGAATCTCAGATAATTGGCCTAGATGTCTCCTTGACTACAGAAGGGGCACAGAAAAGTAGCTTAGTCTGGACACCCAACTTCTAAATGAGTGGAATTAACTGATCACAGTCCAACCATAGATACCTACAGCCTATGAGTATTAGGGTCCTGCATGATTATCTGAGAATGTGATAGAAGGAGTTATCACTCTCCACCTTTCATGGAACAGCTTAATGATTGAGAATACTTGACCCCCTCATCTAAAATCAGTTTATCAGATTCATGCACCTTACCTCAAAAAAACCCCTGCTCCACTGGTGTATGTGCT